TATTTTTGCTGTGGAAACGTAAACGGAGCGAAACCAATTTCCACTCAAAATAAACATTTGACGTTGTTAGTTTCTAGAATCACCTGCCCGTTTTGGGTTGTAATGATATAAATTATAATAATGAATGCAAGCCTTGCAATTAATTTAGGCCTACCTCCCTCGTCAGCCGAAATATAGAAGCTATGAGAAGGAAACTTTTGGGTTTTATTCTGCGTTGGGCCTGCCTGTTGGCAGTTCAAATGACCAGAAAATCTTGGGATGACAAAGATGAGTCCAAGGATATCGAAACTGACATTTCTCAAAGCGTTGCAGTTGTGGGCGTTGATTTTAACTGTCAAAATTTTATCTCTGCCCGTATGGGACTTGTAACGCGAGTGTCGTTTGCGAAGAACCGTGTGAGCTTACTCGGCAATTTTTTTTTTTTAATTTTGTATATATCCCAACGGAGCGTGCATCTTAGCGCGTGTTGGTTATCCAAAATGCAGGGCCTGCAGGGAGTGTAAACCCCGCCGCCAGATCACGTAAAGTCTCACAGAATGGCTACATAATTATGAGACGTTCTTCAAAATTAGAATCGTATGAAGTATATGCCGTCATCATGGCCAGATTAAAAGAGGTCGCCGACTTGGTCCGTCGGTTTTCTAGCCCGAGGGTAGCGCCATTTCCCCCGTTTTCGCCCACCTGGCGTTGGCTCTGCTGGTCATCAATCATAGAGGTTCTTTCCAGTGATACCAAAGACCCGTTTTTGTCTCTGACTTATGACGTACAATAAGTCATCCTTACTGGCCGTAGCGTGTGCACCTGCCTTCTGTCACATAAACAGGTTCAGATGTACTTCAGTTATCACTGATCTGACTAGAGGAGAGCGAGAAGTTGAATGCTTCACAGTGGATCTGACTGGTCATAAAGTACTGAAAACCCTATGTAGATGTTTTGTTGAAACCATTGAATGCCCAAGGAGGTCCAAATTCCTGCAACATGTCGGACAAAAGGTCCATCTATCTCTGACATGGCTCTGCGTAAATTTCGGCTGGTGGTTTTCCTATTTGGAAATCTCATGTACTGTTTCTTTCCTCATTTGAAAAACAAAAAACAAGCAAACAAACGAGCAGAAAAGATTGATTGATAGGTCTGTGCAATCACCTCCTTATGCCAAATTCGACTATCTTGCAAGATCCAGGCCTAGGCCTAAACCATGTGCTTTAGATCCTACTGGTAGATACAAAATTGTGTCGAGTGAAATATACTAAGACAATCGACTGCCATGGTATCAAATGAAGACACAAGACTGTCCTCAGCCTGCGTCGGATCCGATTACTGTTGAAAACACGGATGACTAATGGAACACTTTCACAGATATGAACTGCGAGGATTATTTGCTGCGTCTTAATACTCACATAGGAGTATCCTATTCCCTTTTTAAGGGTGCCTCTTGGGGTCTTTGGTCTTGTTCTGGGATAGATTTTCATCATTACAAAGTACCAATTCTCATTCGAAATGAAAACTGCGAATTATTGTTCCGTTCTAATTTCGCATAATAAAAGACTGCGTATTCAAACGCTAATATTCGCTAACTGCGCGTGCAGCTGTGGGCCTCTAGCTTCACTGAAAAATCAACATTTCTTCTTGTACCCTGTGCAAAATCATTTGGCCTTCGCTTAAAGTGATGACGATATAATAATTTCCAACATCAAAAGTTATGATTAACCACTGTTATAACTAAGAAGTGGTTTTTTGGAGTGTTTATCTTGACTAACTAGAAACTATACCAAACTGTGGAAGTTGAACTCTGTACTATCACAGCAGAATCTTTGTCGTATGCATTGGGGATTTGTTTCAGTAAGATTCTCAGCTTACTAATTCTTGACAGCTCCAAGAGAGTTTGTGTTAAAAATTCATGGGCAATGCGTTAAGGAAAGAATCCAAGCTAGAAAATACCATCAGACTAACTCTGTCATTTCTGTTTAATCTTATAGAATAGGGAGAGAGTAGAACAAATACCCCAGCTGGATCGATAATACAAACCATTTATCTTCATGTACATGTAAACCTATTTGAAAGTCGGTGTAAGGAGTTTGGTCTTTCGTGGGGAGGTAAAGTTAATCCCCTATGGTTCGTACCACAGCAGCTCAACAGACGCGTCCCCAAAGGAGGCGCCATCTGAAGATTTGGTCCAGTCATTTTTAGCCTGAAAATATAGTGGCTTAAGCTGCCTGCTTTCCATTCAACTCTTAAGTTTCCAGTTCTTAGCATTCGATGTTTTTACCATGGGGATTCGGGTTGGCTCTGGCTGAGTTCCTCAAAATTCAAGCCCGAAGCGCGGTTGACTGGAAGATCAATCACTCTTGTAGACCATGCCGTCCATTTTGCTCAGATCCGTTGATGGGACGGGACAACTGTTGATGACCGGCTGTGTTTTGGGGGTTCATCCTAAAAATGACCGCCAGTTTTGCGTGCGCATAAAAAACACAGAACGCCAGTTTATGATCCTGGAAATATGACAGGACTGTTCTGTTCTTCTTGTTGGGAATTTTCTCTGGGGTAAGTCTGAATTAGTGATCGAAAATTACAGATTGCTGTGCATCTATTTTCGGTCGCCGTGTTGCAATAGAGTGTAAATAACGCGCCAGATCTTTGGTTGTAAGGCAAAAAGAAGGGGAAAGGAAGGCAATTGTTGGCAGTGAAGTTAAAACCTATAATTTACTGAAGTTGAAATGTGTTGATATTTCTACATTTCTGAGTTGTGCGCAGTGTAGCAGACCGTTATTCCATCCTCTCTGTAAACCCTGAGACCATTAATTGTTGCACCGTTGGCGGCATTCAATGGATTGGAAAGCACGAGAGATGAATTATTAAACATTTCATGCCATTTGGTAGAAAGATCAAAGCAGACTGTGATCATTAATAATCTCACCAAGTCAATTCATGCAAAGAGGTTGTCTGCTGACAGCCTGATGCCTTTCATCCATGACAACTGTCTCAATGAAATGACATATTGAAAGCACATTCATTTTCCACCATTGTTACAGCAATATACTTTACCGTAAAGCATGTTTTATTCAAAAATAATTACCCTTACATTCATATATCGGGGCAATGTGGTTTATACTCCAGTGCTTCGTACGTCTCTGACAATAGCTTTTCGTGTTTTAAAGGAGGCATTCATCAAACTACTGCAGAAAACACATTATGGTTGGAACTTTCATGAACAATTCATTACCACACAAAGCCGAGCAGACACCCATTTTTCAAATTTTCTACTTGTTTTCCTAGCAAAGAAGCTCAGTAGGGATTGCATACCATTAATAGTTTGGTCTACCATAATACTATGCAAATAAAAACGCCCCAAAAGATATTGGTTGGCAATTTTCTGTTTAAATTGAGAAAAAGAAATTAATTTGAAAGAGCGTGTTTGACCGTTTGGTGCGACTGCATTTCAAAGTCCAACATCGGATGGTGTACAATAGGTCATATTGGTATTTAGAAGGTTTCGGCTGTCATGGTTTGGCACTAAGCTGGTATAACAAATTGTTTCATCGAAGTACGTACATTCGGAGCTTGAAATGCAAAGTATTGAATGGATTTTCTTCCCAGACCTCTTTAAACGAATCGTGCTTAGTCTCACTCTATCACCGGGGGCTTCGATAAGAATCACCCCACGAAGATCGAACCAGTCCCCGTTCGCTCCCTCATAACCCGATAATTCTTTCTTTCGTGGTGGTGTGGTACCCCCTGGCCCCGATGGTTGATAAGGTTGTCCCTCATCCGGTAGGTAAGGGTCATAATCCTCTGTCTGGAGAGGTTTTGAGTCTCAGACATTCGTGGAAGTCATGGGCACCTGGGTGTGTTTTCGAACTTGAAGTTTTGAAGAGTACAAGGTGCGGTATCTGTAGAAACCTAAAAGCGGCCTAACTTCCCGCTGCTATCCGCCTTGAGCAGGAGCACCCCCTCATCGGTTGAAAAGAGCCGTCCTACTTTGGAATGTTAATTACGTTGGTAGCTGACGCGACTGTAACACATGCATTTCATAGTCGTTTGTGAACCAGCGAAGTGCAATTCCCTCCCAAGGATCGTTACTTGAACAATTGCGCTCTCTCTTGGTCCAGCTTGGTGGCTCATACATAACATCGATTCCTTGTAAAAGGCCTATGCAATTCCTTCGTGAGGTCTTGTCCTACATTACACAGCACTTTGCGTATCTGACATGAAATTGGTCAATTGCTTCACACCTGTGTTATGTTAATAATTTGGAAAGTTAATTGAAAAAATATATTTATTCAAACCACCAATGACTATATACGTGTACTTTTTATTGGGAGACTTTTGCTACAGACTTATGCCAAGGTTTCAAGTGGGGAAGTTTTTCTTTTGTTGTTCCTCATAATTAAGCAGAATTATAATGATCGCGTGGATTTTTGACCGAAGTCGTGTGAAACTAGCTTCGGAGAAGTTAACAGTGGTAATGTAATTAGCGTCTTGTGTGGCCTACCAGGGTTGGGCTTAGACTAAACACATCTCAGGGATGGGTACTCTCGCGGTGTTCTTGTCTCTGTGAACGTTAGAACATCCGGCTGATCGTTGGATCAGCCTAAGAATGTCACGATAATGCTGCCTCAACACAGACTGCTCACAGGAGCTTATAAAGCCAAGCGTCTTGAAGGGAACATCAAGAGGAAACTTTGAAGGGGTTAGTGTACGTAGTGCGATGGCCGCACGCGGATTAACAGCCGAGGAGGAAAGAACTCTAGCCTCGGAAAAAATCGGAAGCGCTTGTCCAGATGTTACTTTAAATAAGCGCTCACAGTACTCGCCATGCGTGTTGCCCTCAGGCTGATCAGTCTCATGTAGCAGATGCGGTGATTTTGATGAACGGTTTAAGGAAGAAAGGGATGAGACCTGTAGAATATTTTTCAATGTCGGAAGTTTGCATGAGTGTATCACCCCGCACAGATACGCCAAAATATATTCTATGATTTAAAAAGTCGTGATTTTTTCTCCAGGTACAAGTACACTCATAAAACAAAACTCTGGGTCCGAGGTTGTCAAAGTCGACTCACACCTGGACACATTCGATCTAATACAGGTCAGTGAAGCTCCGTTTTCACAACCAGAGTTCATCTTGACACTGATATATCTCATCATATATTGCACAGATCCAGCGTCGGTATAGTATTTATCATAAGGGTTAGGAAAATGACTCAGGTGCATGGCTTAATAGAATTAATGTCCTCGCAACGACCTGGTTCCCGCCACCCTCTCGGCGTATTTGATGTTTACCGTGTTGGATGTCCAATCTCTTAGCCCGCGGCGATTTCATAGGCGTTTCCTGTTCATAAACATTGTCCAGTAAGGCAACTCCGGTTATTGTTGCCGTTGTGCAACTGTGATCTTTAATTGAGGCACGCGCAGGTCGTACCGTTTGACTGGGTAATCGTGAAAGCCTGACCTTTATGGACCCGAAGCAAAATCGAGAAAAACGCTCGTCGATTTATCCCAGTATGAAATTACACCCGCTATTTATCAGATTACAGGGCTTGGCCCATTGTCAAGGGGTTATTCTTTTATGTCGTTCAACCTTCACGTACTTTTTCGAACACAGACATCATCGAATGCGAACTAATTCATTGCTGAAATTGATTCGCAACAGAGAAGGTTTCCATCAAAACACATACAGTAGATTGCCACTGTGAAAGGTTTTTATATGCATCAGACTTTGTGTCACATTCAAGAGCGTTCATCTGAGAGTGTTTTGGCATTCCGTTTTTTTTCATCTTTTTTTTTATCTGGATTTGAGTCTGTTTTTTGACCGTGATAAACGAGATGCGACTATCCAATAATGTGATCAGCATCGAGCTGCCCAACATAAAATTCCTAGCAATATATAAAAAAATGTAATCCCAGATATTTTATCTGATTCATATTGGCCGAATTAGAAGCAACAAACAGCCCCCCAAAATGGACATCAAAGTCAAACTTCCAAAAATCGTGACGGTGACATCAATTAAATAGCGTGTCCAGAAGCTGATCCTGCCCTGAGGCCACAGGGGAAAGAAAGTGGCTAGACACGCTGATAAAACCCCTATGTCGAACCTAATCAGAGGCTACCATCAGCGAGGATATAACTTGGTTTTCAGTGACTCCTCTTCACAGTCAGATATTCCCTGGCTGATTCGACAAAGATAACAGGATAAAAAATTGTGCAACCGTCCCCGATTATTCTCGCGGATTCACGTAAAGCTTCGAATTAGACGCTGCCTCGGGATCCTCGATTTAATTTCTCTCCACGACTCTCGTCTTGTCTTGAAGAAGACAGAGAATCCGTGCAATATTTTGGCAGTCACGCAGAACCAGGTCCTTGTAGCAGGAAAGGTGCAGAATGGCCTTCAAGCACTTGCTGTTTCCGATCTTTTCCGTTCCTACTGTTGCACTGCCAGAGTTTGCCGGCGCATTTGGTATTTGTCCATGCATTTGAAATCATTTAAGAAGTTGATGGTAGGTAACTGGTAATTATGTTCTTCTGTTATTCACAATTACGCATTCACCCAAAACGGATACGTGACATCCGGTCCGTAAGTGACTTCGTCACAAAGGCAGACGCGCCACTATTTGCAGGCTCCCATTGGACGATCGTTGAAGCTGCGCGTTAGCTTCCGGTTCCATGGTTTCACGTAAACGGCAATCAATGCATGTAACCCTATGTGCAGTGGGCGTGGTTGAAATTGAAATGACACCACACTTACGAACCAGATAAGAGTGACTACACGGTTCTGTCAAAGTGTAACACTACCCACTCGTCCATGTGCCGAAAACAGAATCGTAATTTAAGAAAGACTACAAGACAGGAGCAGGTATATGTTTTCTATTAAGAATACTGTTTTTATAGGAGGGATAATAAACTGCTGTGGACCTTGCCATGTCCTTTGTGAACTGAGAACCGATCCATTCCGACTGAAATAGTTTCATTTCTAGTGGCCTTTTCTTGTAAAGGCTGTCAGCCAGTCTGTTGAAATATAAAATGAAATAAGGTAGTAGCTGCACGTGGGAATAGTGGTGGCTTATAACAAAGCGTTGTAAGATTAACGTGGGTAACGATGTCACGAACAACAATAATTTAAGACATATTGTACACTTAGTTTTTGTAAGGTACGCCAGAGGAACGAGTCTTAAAAATTTTTATCTGGAGGTAACTGGGTCCGCCATTGGTTCAGCCCAGCGTTGTCTCCATGTCCATCACGTCCATCCATCCAACACCGGCATCTCACGCTACATTACCCTGTATCACTTAACAGGCGCATCACTGCAACACGAGATCTTTTCGTACGTCTGGTCGCATTAAGCGCACGAGATCGAGAAGAAAGACGCGCGCGGTACGATCGCCGAATAGGAGCGAACATTTTTGTCTGTAGGCCTAATTGCTTGTCATGCGTCATCAGCGATTGATATTCTTTATTTATTTTGACTTACAAGTGCGTTTTCCTAGTCGTGTAAGGTCTTGCCTTTTCCAGTGGAGACAGATTGAGCTCACCTTTTCTCCAGATATTTTTTAAAATATTCATTACTTATTTAATAATAATTACTTAGTTAAAAGTACAAAAGGGTTGTTTATTGTTTTTCGCAGGATTGGAGGTTCAACACACTGAACTTTGTGTTTTCTGTACAGCTAACAGTGCAAAACTGAAGACTTATTCTTATTCTAAATTAGAATTTAGATTATTGTTTGGATCGTGTCATCATTCTCAAAGTGACTGATGTCTCAATGTACGTGAAAATAATGGTAGTTTCGTTCCTAATAATAGATAAATATAGATTTTTTTGTACGTTTCTGGGCCATTGCAAATGGCAAGGCTCACGAGGTGTCATCGTCGTCTGGTAAAGTTCTACATCACTGTCTCCTTGGAAACCTTGTCTCCAGCTCCGTATCCAATATTTGGAGGAAATGTTCACACCATTTTCCCACCTACTTGCTGGTACAGCTGCTCCAAGCCGGAAGGAAGTTAATGAAAAATAATGGTTGGTTGTCATCAATGTGTGGTACCAAAGCAATATGGTAGGCTAAACAAGACCTGATTGGTTGGTTCATTTCTTCGACTTAATGTGAGCAGACATCGGTGTCTGGTAGCAAACATACGTAATACTGACGCAAGAGTCACCCGCTTGCTAAAATCTCAATATAACAGCACGTTCTCCCTTTCTTATTACCGAGTGCTCTCTGGTGACATTGGTTACATGCGCGCAACTCTTTTAATTTCAACTGCGCAAATTTTAAGGTTAGCATGACTAAATTGGCTCAATTTATTCAAAAGCTGACAATATTTCAGAGTGATTACATTTCCAGGAATCATTTGCCCTTTTGAAATTAGAATTGAAATACGCGACTTCTATAAATCTGAAGACTGGAGTGTATAGATTCTACAAACGGTTGGCTTTCCGCTACGTTGCAACGGCAAACATGTCAAATCTGACATCGAAGTTGTTAGTATCTCTAAATTCGCCTCTAACAAAGTAAACGTACTATCACAGGATGGGACAGTGCAAACGGAACACTGAGAATTGATGAGTGTTACCATCTTGCGTGTATAGCAGCTGCTACAGGCCTATAACTAGTGTATGTACAAGGGAATTCCACTTCATCGATGACCGTCAAGAGCTTACATTGCAGGCTTCATGATGTAAGACTTCACGTGAGTCGTGCATTTGAAGCACAAACAGCCTGGCAAAATTACCCCAACACGGTCGTCTCCCTCCCACGAGAGTTCCGAACATCCATTTAGTAAATGAATGTGCCCCTCTCGTTGGCGTTTGCTGAAATAACAGCCATCCCGTCAACATGATTTTCCAATCGCCAATCGGGTTCAATACGCTAAGGGCATATTCCTTAAGAGTCAAGTAAATACATTCCTCCTTTTTGTAGACTCAAGCTGAAGTGGATTTTATTCACCCTTCAAAATTGTCCGATTGCAGTTTTTAAGCACGTCGCAGGTGCTTGCTTCCCGCGTTCGTTTTTAAAGAACCCCCACAGAAAGACACACAGGCATGTGCATGATAGCTTTTAACGTCTAATGTTCGCACTGGGGCATTTTTGTCCCTGGTGTCAAATTAACGAGGTGTTATACTCCAATCACAAAGGTGATGGATGGGGCGGGAGAGGCGCTAGTGAACCGTTTAGAATTCCCAAGCTGCTGGGATAATTCCCTCCGCTGCTGCATGTAATATCAAACACTTCACGGATGGGTGCCGTGATGGTTCACACAGAGTTTTGGTAATGTAGCAGAGTACGACATATACCGCAAGTAAATATTGACCTTCCTCATGTCAACTGCAAGTAAAACTATCATTTTTCTGGTCTCTAAACGGTTTTCACAATTCACTCGAAGTAAACAGCAATTCAAAACAGTAATCACAGCCTTGTAGCGATCGGTGACAAAACAGTCACAGTTTGAAAACTTTGGCGTAGAAATACGTGTTCCTACCGAAAACTTCATGGAGGTAGGAGCTATTGCTTCGTAGAGAGAGTTCAAAAGGCCGAGTCTGATACAGACGTTCGTTAATCCACACTTCTCCCCTTCACAGCAGTCACCTGTTATGGTTAAAAGCATAATCTCTGGGCAGTAAACTACATCGTTCTAATTGTATGGGAGACTTTGAAACGTTGGTGGCAGCAGACATACCAGTCCTTTTTCAAGGTCTTATATACGCTTGCTGAGAACTGTGCGCGCATGCTCAGAACAAATAAGAAGACGGGTTTGTCCACACCGTCCCAAAGTCTCCCACTGCTATCATATGTTTATAAACAGGATGCTTTTTGACTTGGTCGCACGATGGGCCCATCTTATTGGGCTCATTTGCAGCCATCACAGCGACTCGTGCGAATTTAATATTTTATCATTCCTGGCACATTGCGAGCGTAGTTGGTCATACACGCTTCGTATTCCATGTGCGTAAATGTGTAGTTGATCGCTGATGTACGGCGTGTTGCGGATGGAATTACACGTGCAGGACTTCATGTGGTGGACCGAAGCTCGTGGTTAAAATCAACGACAAGGTGTCGTGAGTGGCAAGAATAAACTATAGAGACTGGTTTAAAATGAAAAAAAGGGGGAAAGTGCCAACTATCGCACATTAGTCAATGTTGCACCACTCTCATATACCAAGACCACTGTTAACTGTACGATGGCCGATATTCACCGTCGCGAAGTTAGTTTTTCCTGTTTATTTAAACAACAACAACAACAACAACACTCTGTTACCGAGTCGGTAACACGGACTTTATCAGTTGCTTACAGCGTTATTTCAGAAATCATCAAACATTGTTTGCTTCCCTCAGTCAAAAATGCTATATAATAAAGTAAGGACAGTGTAGAATTGGAAATGAGTATACACGAGCGTCGTAAAAGTGGGTAGGGGTTATAACACCCCCCCCGTTAGTCACTTATGTTGGCAAAATCATAATAATGTCGGAAAGAATGGAGAAGGAAGGGGAGAGGACGGGACTTCGTGAGTGTCCGGTTGGGGAATCACACTACTATTACACACGCGAAATTTGCCGACCGTTGGTCGACAAAATTTGATGATGGCAGCTTGGTCTAGCGACGCCCGTGAGAGTACAACCTCTTTACAAATAAGTAACGTTCATGGTCGCTAGACAACCCATACATAAACCTTCTCTTAATTCTTTAAAGGCGGAGCTACTTTCGTCGTTTCTGGTTATGCTCTTACGCTGGAAACTTTAATCAGATTTTCCTTGGGACTGATGAAAAGGGATATGACATTTGAAATGTTTTATGGATTCCTCGATTTGATTCCACATTTTCGTCACTGATTTTCGTGTCGTAGCGCATCTACAAATCACATCCTCTCTCCAATCACAGCCTCAGATGTTGCCAGACATTTTTCAGCAGGAATCAGGTGGTTTCCAAGCTGCTAATGACCTTCTCTTTCCGTCAATTTGGCGCGAAATTAGCCAAGCTGCCTCTCCTCGGCTAACGAGATCTGCAGTGTGCTTAGAGCCCCATCTGCGTGTACGCTCTTGCTAAACGCCGTACGGTGTTATTAACACGAACTGACACCGGCCTTTTAGTGTTAATCCATCATGCGACACACGCCTCGCATGACAACATCTGTAATTGGAAAATTGTGTTAGAGGTGTCGTGTTAGCGTCATCGAGTGACAATTATTAAGGACGTTTCGTCGTTTTGGCTTGTCAAGGTTGTATGACAGCACAAAAAACCACAATCTTTAGTAAGTTTTGAATGTCAGAAGGCCCAATGATCAGCGATGCAGTGCGCATATTAATGATGCCTTTCTGCTCACTGTACTCAAATGTACTATCCACAAGGCGTGAATATGTGACACAGTATTGTAACTCCGAAGTATTTGCCAATATAGCATCAATGAACCAATTCGGTATTCCAACTGTGCATTCCTAAAATGAAGCGCGTTCGAGGTCATTCGGGAACAGCGGCAGGCGGGCCCCAGATCTGCCCTATCCGAGTGGTCAAACACGTGATGTTTTCTCGACCGACCTCACCTTTTTGGAATACCGAACTGGCCCATTGTAGCTTAATACCTGTTATTCCACTAGTCATTTAGCTTCAATGCAAGCCCTTAGACCTACCTGTCACATTTAATGAAGCTTGGCATTTACTTGCACATCTACTTCTGTGGAACCATAGAAGCCCCTTCCTACGCATTCTTAATAAATTTTTTAAACGGCGTAGTGTTTTCATGGTCTGTGGTCTATACGTCGCTTAATACAACGCACCCATTCAGCAGAGCACGCGGTATAGAGCGTGCATTATAGCTTGCATTATAAAGGCGGAACTTTCTGATTTCTTGCAGACTGAGGAAGTGAAAAAGGATAGAATTACTGTCGAAAACGATTAGAGAGGTTACAGCCAAGAACCTGAATTTCAAGGTAAGAATTTATTACGATTTAACTTCCGATTCCAGAGTGAATGGTACTTTTCGACGGTAGTAGTATTCCAGGTACAGTCTACAAGCTTCTCATTGCATAAATTTCTTTAGCAAAATAGCCGACCTTAGCTTTTGGCGGTGCGCGCTTTTAATCTGTGCAACGTTTGCCTCCGGAACTTTCAACGGCGCTGGTGCGTGCTGTTAGCTTTTTGGCTGTGACAGAGTCTTTGATGAAGGAGACACCAAGGTACCAAATGCTGTTAACAATTGTTTACTGTTCAGGAGCAGAAAGCATACGAAATGATTTATCATGGCCGAAATTAGGGCTTTCATTAGCAGTACCTTTCAAACATAATGGATAATTGCTCAAAGTTCAACCAAACCTTGAGCTCCTCAGAAGTTTTCCACGACAGGCAAACTTATGTATGCCTACATTCTCTCTTTTGATCAACAATAAAAAGACAAAGGGTGAGACAAATCACAAAAGGAAACAATTAAGAGTCTCCTTTTGATGTGTATTGTCCATATTTTGTTTTCCGCCTTCTTACAGGTGTACCTTTAAAAGTAGTCAAACAGTATACACGTACATGTACATTGTTGTCACTTATAGGCAGTATTGCTCCAGCATGTAGACTTATCATTAGACTTGAGGATTAATTAACCTAATTGCTTGTTTAACTCAGCAATGTCCTCTGAATATTATAGTTTTGTTATCAGTGCGCTCCATTAAGTAATAACTGCGGCCGAGTGGCAGTATAGATACCGTCTTGACGTCGTTAAATCTTGTTTTTACGCACAGCCACATCATTTTTTACGGCCTTGTCACATCATGGCCTTGCCATTAAAGTATTATTCTAATGTGACTTGTTGACTTCACCAAGGTGTTTGTTGAAAAGATTCGTTCGGCTCGTGAACCCGAGCCCTCCACCAATCGTAGACCTTTTTTTTACCCAACTCAATCTTCTTGTGCAAACTGGCCATTCTGGAAACCTTGACGGGGAGTAAGTGAAGATTAAGCGTAAACCATGCTAATTTCCTCATTCATTCCTTTCACCGGCCATGTTTAAAACTCAGTTTATTGTCCAAAAAGGCCAACAAATTTACAGGTGTTGCAGGTAAAACGTTAGGTTGCGCGGTTAAAGATCTGAGCGAATCAGATTTGAAGAAGTTTGAATTACCCCCCCCCCCCGAGAGTCACAACTTGCAGCTAAAATAAAACAAAAACGAGTCATCTTTGAGAACCGGAATTAAATTTCGAATGACTATGTAAACGTTCGTTTTCAATCAACGGCCGCAATCCCAGCTCCTTTTTTCGTTAGCATTGTCCGAATATAAACAACCTCAACGGGAAACTCTGACGTGCAGGCGGGGATGCTGCATGGGTCCCCTGAGCGTTGCTTGCTGATATCAAGGGTCGGTTGTCGGGAATCGATGGAGATGCTGTAGGCCTCCACCAGCATTCTGGTTGGGTTGATTCGCCCGGACCCGATTAAGGGAGGGAATGACAGCTTATACACGTGGCCTAAAAGAATCTAGAATCAAACACGGCTAACATCGCGGACGCCATATCAGCCTAAGTTGCTTTCGAACCTGAATCAGAGAAGTGTGAGACGGGGAAAGAGTCAACCATTCATATAATGAAACTTTTTCTGGTGTGGACATTAAAGAAGGATGTAGTTTGCAGTAGGTTTCCCTTCTAACCATTACGTTTATAGTTCTCTTTAGAAGCAATCTGCCTGGAAACTTCATTTACGATACATATGTAATCTCTGCACGTGCTCTTAATGCACTCCAATGGGGATGTCTCGCCCGGAGGTGATAAAAAAAACCGATGAACATTTCTCGTCAGGAGGAGATCAGGCGAGGGGACGAAAGGTAATAATGAACACGTACCGGTAATGACAACAACACAACATGCCACGTCGACCTGTTTTTTCTTCGTTCTGAGCAGAGAGTGGGCCGGCGGTGGTTAGAGATGGAAATCCCAAAGGGGCCTTCTTCCCTACTTGGAAGGACAGACCGGTCGATTGGTATGTTCTTGGCGATGAACACCAGGCATTATTACATCCACGCGTTTTTTTTTTGGTAGTTGGCTTATGGTGCCTCGATCAAATAAGCAATATCTTAACACCCTTGGAAAAAAGACATATCAGTTGCCTTTATGCGTGTGGATCAATGGAAGTGGATAGCAGACATCGTTATGACGTCCTCCATAGCGGACTGTGAGTTGTGAAGCCGGCATATTGTTTTAGACACTGTCCAGATTATAAGTTACCTTGTAAATATTTTGATAATAAACGCAGGAGGACAATTTACGTCATAGGGCTGATTATAAGGTGCTTATTCTACAGAGTTTACAGAATTTTCACTTCGACCGACTACTTGTTTATTACTTTTTTGACGATAAACGCAGCAGGACGATTTACGTCATACGACTGATTTTAATGTGCTTATTCTACATAATTTACAAATTTTTCATTCCGTCCAAATCCCTTTTTTTTTGGAAGCTGGCCTTGTTTCTGTCATTTCACTTAATAAAGCATAGAATGAATCTTGGTGCAACATTTAACAGCTGTCCCATCCGGTGTTCCACGGAGGTTAAAACTTGGATGTCTTTTAACAACAAATCTTTTTCTATGAACCCTGGTGAATTTTTTAATCGTCTTGCTTGATTTTTAGTGTATAGAAAGTGATCTTTTCAGTCTCAGCTCATTGGGTATGTTTCCATCCAGGATATGTTTCGTCAGGTATTGCAGAAACGGAATATTTTTGACGTGGTTCTTCGTCCGTCCTTGACTTCAAGAAAAGGGCGGGTCCTTGATGTCGAGCCCCACGGAGCACTTATCAGATCGCCCACTGAGTTTGGGGCCGACTGATCGTTCGTCTGAAAATCCGCTTTCCAGAATCCGATGTCTTCCCTTCCAGAGATTGACTTAAATCTCCTGGTTCATTCTTATCGCTGTAATCAGTAAGAAGATGTGCCGAGGTTGGAAAGATCAGTGGCGTGCTTCTTTCCAAGGTGCGCCCCGAGAAGACTTATCATTTCTATTCTCAGAGTTAGTCTGTAGGATATGACTCGCCTCGCCTTTGCCTACGGATAAAAGACGATTGCAGACAAAAAACTAAAATGTCAAGGACGAAAGTAGTTTCCGTCAAGTCTCACCAGATCTCATGCCATGCCTTTAGAATGAGATCTGACAGTGTATGTGTGCATTCTCATATCGTTTCCCGTTTGACCATATGACTACGCTCTTGCTTTCTTTGGTTACCAAGTTATTATTAGTTCTCATTTGTGAGGTATGGTGTATCCCAGGCATCCGAAGCGGTGCCTTTCACATCAAGAAGAGCCGGAATGAAAACATGAGTTAATCGGGCTCCTTGGAAGCGGCAACGGCCGCCATACCGCTGGTATTCATCAGGAGATGACTTAGGTCTACACCTGCATCCAATATTATGAGGGCTTATCGTGCCTAAAGAGGGGACATCACCATTCGAACGGTCGTCGCGGGCGGTTGCCAAATGGGCCTCGGCTGCTCGCTGGCAAATATTGTCTCATACAATTATTGCCTACTTGAATTGAATGTGGCGCGTTATTTCTGCCAATAATCCACCTCAGTGGAGCGCGAGGGAGAGAAGGGTGTCGTCGGAGATAAAACGCCCTCTCAAATGCGTTTTTAATAACGTCTGGAAATTAAATTGCGAGGCTGTTGTGTGGAAATTGGGTTGTCATGAATTTTTATGCCGGGCGAAAAAGACTGATAAACAGTGCGTGCGTGTTACTGTCCCAGTAACGTGCAATCGATTTGGAATAGATTTAAGGCCGCGCCTCTATACCGTGTTGAACACGGACTTCAATCAACACATCATTTCATCAACACGCATCATCACTCTTAACTATGTGAATGAGATAACTCTTATGCACTGCTCCACAAAACAAGTCTGACGCAATTTTCTTTATAGACGTATGGTGCCCGGAAGTGGGCATTCATTGGTTAAATAAAGGTTTATGAAAGTTACATTTTGTTTGATGACTTTCTCGAGGCAGACATTGCTGCACCTTTTCCCATTTCCTTAACGGCATAAAGACGTGAGCAGGAAGTTTGAATGACTTTGTGAAAGATGGTGACCATCGTGACTTTCTAATAAATGAAAGCACCCCTGCCTGTTTATGCTTTTTATGGGACTGCGAAAAATGCCGGAGATAAATGGCTTTTATTTTAACTAAAAGGAATTGGAAAGACAAGGGCTGAAAAGAGAAGTCGGTGTGAAAGAGTTCAGTTCTACACCGTAATTTTATAATTATGCCTTGGATATTTATGGAGTAAAAGCTTATTAATGTAACTGATTGTCCTTTTGACAATAATGATTTGTTAAGACTTCAGTCAACCGTGCAATGCGTTTACATGAACCACTTAAAGAATTCTGGAAAACTAAATAATTCTGAAAAGTGAAGCATCTGAAAATAGAGCTGATATGCCAAAATAGGCGATTCGTACCCCTCAAAAATTGACCGATTTCTGTCCTACTTTACTTTACCTTACACAAAGTGTTTCAGAATTTGTCGCCACGAGGGGTCATAAAGATCAACTACACTTGACAGAGGCAACTCACTCGCTTCTAATTGGAGGACTGAGGGTGATGGATCACGCTGTACCGCCGTTATTCCTTTCTTTCTCTTTGAGTTATCGTAAGGCGCTTTAATGGAAAGAAAGCAACACCTCAGGCGTTGGCTTCAGTCTATTTCTGCCCTCCACCGATTGTTTTTTAGATGTGGACGAGTGATTGCCGCCTGTCATTTAATTTTCCCCCGCGTATCCGTCTCATGCACTCAGTCTGCGATCGGGTTGGTACCGGTGGAGGTACTGTTTAAAAGCATGGACATCCTATCTGCGATAAAATGGAGACACTGACGCACTTTCTTTTGTAGCTTTTCTTCAGTCGCGCCGTTCGTGTTCTGCTCGTTATTGACGTTTTGTAATGTCACAGGAATTAGGCACAGCACCCACTGTGCAGTGGATCACACCACCCAGAGTAATATTGTTACCTATACCGTCTTTCTATTAACAGGACGAGGAAAGCACCGTCCCCCATCAGAACCACCACTTGAAACTTTAGCCTATACCATCCATACCCTCGTATCTATCAACTCTTCCAAACCTGCTGCTTGCCCTAAATGACCCAACAACGTCTTTGCCGTTCAGCACGAGCAACTATTGGATCATTTTAACCACTGCCTCCATTATCAGTCAATGTCATTTTTCCGTTCGGTTATTTTGTTTGACAGCGTTGTATCAGCACTGGGCCTCCACCACATCACGTTAATTACTATAGCTTCCATCACTGCTGCGTGTTCTTCATTATTTTGATAACTAATTGTCATCCTACATCCATTTTAAACCTATAAAGATAGTTAACTGCATTAATTATGTCCAATCCACTGTCAGTCAGCCATTTTTCCCTATAGCTAGTGCATGCTCAAAAAGTCAGCGGTACTTTTGGACTATCTGCCTCGCCATTGCTTCCCTCAAATTAGAGTCATCCTTTAAATGGATGATTCTACGGAGGTTGGGCCGTACTCAGGCGTAAAAGGAAATGTCTCTCTCTTCTAAAGCAGTCCTTTCCGGCACTTACTTTACGAACGATCTCGTCGAGAGAAAAAACTGTGATATACATTGGTAGACTTAGCTCTTAGGTAAGGACGCCTCATTGGTCATGATCAGGAATGGCAATCGATTTTTAACTAACCGTTTCAATCAATAACTGTACGTTTTTTGGAAGCTATGCAAAATCTATTTTTAAACTGTCCAATTTCAATTGTTTGACATATACACTTGGAACTGAAGATAGCTCATACATTTGCACGCCTGTGATGTTTTGGACATGAATGGCGGAAAATGAATATGTCCCGATTTAGTCTCCAGCTGAAAGTGACTGCGTGAAGAAAAATGTTAAAATGTTAATCTTAAAGTTTACAAGAACATTATGTGAAAGGAAGCATCTGTGTGGGAGCCAAAAGCGGAATTAGAAGGAAGCATTCCTGATTTTGTTTAAGTCCAATTATTTTGTACGAATTTTGAAAATACTGCGCTTTTTAACAGAGTTTAGTTCAGGGTGTTTCGCGATCGGAATGAAAACTTCAAAGCTACACGTATTTCAGTTAGCCAGTTCAAACAGCGATTGATTGTCACCCAGTGGTCGATCGATTTTGGCTGGTAAACCTATGCATGAAATATACACCGGGTTTCAGGCAAAATCGGCCTGTGGTTAACCAATTGTAGCTGATCGAACTTGCCAAGTGTTATAGTCGAGTGCAACACGAACCATTTTACAAAGTCTAGCCACAGGCAAAGCAACGGATGACGACGAAGGAATGCTTTTATCACAGTTTATTTGAATAGCTTGTGACTTGGTCTAACACTGCTGGAGATGTGATAGACTTTTCAAAGGCTTTTGGGGGATTTTTGATGTATGGACTGGCAAGGTACTTTGAGAGATTATTTGACGGACTTGACAATAACACTGATGTATAACATGTTGAATGTGATTTGTTTTTCATTCAGCATGCGTTAAGGACACACCATTCCTCTCAAATTCGCTCCGTCACCTCACGCCTGATCGGCATTACGAGGTTGACAGAAAGAGGCAGCCGCTCAGGGGAAGAAAAAAAAAACATGTTTGCCCTCTTGAAAGCTTTTCTCTCGATTCTATCACCGTTATTGATTGTGTAACCGCAGCAAGAACGATAACATCGTCAATGTCTTACAGCTCCAGAGTATACGAGGCTAAGATATAAAGATGATTGTTATCGTCCGACCCTGAATCTCGACTCAAAGATCGAGTGGTAATATTGAGAGAACAAGTTGGACTGTTTTTATACTTTACTTGTACTGCGCGACAGATGTTCAAGTTCAGCAAAATGGTTCTATGATTGGACCTGAGCCCACTCATAGTCCACAGCATGCGTGACTACGCCCTCTAAACCAAACAATTACGGTCCGCTGTTTAGGTTGAATCAGGCGTCCATGCTCAGGTACGTTTCCCTGTCAGGCAAAGGACTTGAAACTGCTTGTGCGCAATCGCATCCGCGCCAATGGGTAGTATGGGTCATGGGGCTTTCATTGGGGTGCCTTATGAATTTCATTTAGTGGTATGAGAATTACTCGGGCTGTTTTGCACGCATACCTTACAATACTGACTCTACCTGTGTACACCACATCATTTCTTCCTGCCATAGTTTACATTTGAGCCAGAAAAAAAACAGTTACTGTACGGGGCACAAGAAACGTTGAGAACACGCTAAGTCTACGTTTTTGCGCATAGTCGCTGTATATCTAGGTGTGATTATTTTTGAACGTCCTGAAGGGAACTCACCGTAGCCACAACTCGAGATAACAGAAAATGGAACTTCAACGTACTCTGTACTATTACTGAAAAACACCCTCCTCTGTCAGAAAAAAAAACATGTGATGCCTGACAGCGTAGATTAGAATCAAGAAATATCATGTCATTGCACTTCTCTACTGAGTAATATCACTTCTTTCCCCAGGACCTGATAAATCTAGCAAGATCCCTAGTGAAGTCGCACCACAAGCAATGAAAACACGTCTAGTTATCTGAGGACTATCGTGTCTTCTTTGCATAGGGAGCGTCCCCATTTTATTAGTACACGTTGCTCGTCAAATAGACTATGAAATTTAGTATCTGTAGTATTGCAGTACATGTATTGTATCGCAATTTTGAATCGATATTTTTCATTCTTGATTATACTATTAAACTTTTTAAAATTTCATTGTGCCAAAATCAGCTCCTACCATTAAGAGTGTTGAAGTTGAATCTTTTTTCCCCTCCAACTTAAAGGTACTTAAATGAATGCGCGTTAGATAAAAAAAAACATGCCTACAACGCCATAGGAAAGCAACTCGCAATACTGATTGGTTCCGACAACATTTACCAGAGCGTTCAATTTAGAATGAAAAACTATGACTGATTAACGTCATTTGAGAATTCATTGGAGTACCGAGCACTACTCATTCGGATCGCTGGGGATTCCCAGAATTTCCCGCCGTAGCTCCGGGCTGCCTTTCAGCTTAAGTGTTTGCTTTGTCGTACCGTTTCCTGGGAATCTGTGAGAAATCTTCACCCCAAAAAGGAGAAGGAAGCATTTTTTTTGTCATCTCCGTCCAAGGAGACTAATAACTCTTGAGGAATCCTGAGGAATCTTATGACGTATTTTGGCGGACTTAGAAACAACATGAAAGTATGCGACTGTCTGAAGACACGGCAACCACGCAGTAGTTGAGAAGTTGCGCAACGTGTTTACGCCGGATGGTGTCTAAAAGTGCCTAAAAGTGTAGTTGTCTAAATGCAAACATACAAATACGTTTTGCATTCAACTTGCTTCATTACGTATACGCGACGACGGCCTGACGAACATAGCAAAAATCACTGTCCAGAGTGACTCGAAATTTGACGAGTGCGTGACGTGCGTGTTCAGCGAACTCAGAAGGCGATTTCAGACAACCAACTATCGGTACAGTGTGGTACTATTTTGAGTCGTTGCATGGTATACTCTCGTGAGGTGGGCATTTGGTGAGACTCCACTATGTTCCCTGAGCAACAAATGCCACCATTCTTACATTCTTATTCAATGATGTTTGCCAATGTGCCCCATGGTATGTTTCATTGACGTCATCAGATACATTTACTCCTCCCGTCTTTCGACGGTCTGGACATCTTTTGATTCCCTCAAGGTTTGAAATAATGCTTTTAGCCCTCAACGAGATAGGCAGGAGATAACAGCGATAGTATCGATCGCTTGGACGAGTTAATCACGCATGGCTGCGCTGCGCGGCCCAGTACAAGATCCAGCGCGGGCTACGACACAAGCTTCAAAGTTTTCGGTACCGGAGCCATTCGCGCGTGACTTGTCAGAACTGATAAGAAAAAACAAAACAAAACAAAACAGGAAGACCTCAAGGCTGTGTGAATGACTAACTTTGACACGTCAACAATCTTTGAAATGGGTACAACACGTATAAAGGTACATTCCAACATCATTATTGAACATCTGTATAAGCCTTTGTTAATGTGGTCTCACGGAATTGTTCTTCCAAGAGTTGCTTCTTCCACGATTTCTATAAAGAGCAATCTTTTCCTCATCTTCTAAGTGACTGTCTCAACAGAATTGTTTTAAATGTGGTTCATTTTCTATTCATTCAGGCTTTGTTGTGTTGTTTCAAGTGAGCTCAGCAGTTTTTGCGCCAAAATCCATAAATATACTCACTTTTCATCATGTTTTGTGATGGTGACATATTGAATCAGAAACAAAATGACCGTACACAAGAATTGAAACCACGCCCTGCTCTTGGCTTGCCACAAATATGGTGGGTATCAGTGGTGTGCCTCGTGTTAAAGAGTTCTCGTTTTTACTCTTGGATTCATTTCTTAGATGATGAGACTCATAGCCCTGCTTGGTATAGTCAGCCTGCTAGTATGCCGGTCAGCTGGTCAAGATGCCGCGAATGTGGAGGAAGAGGAGGACTTCAAGGACTTATACCCAGCTGACAGGGCGGTAAGACTTCATTTTTGGTAGCAGAAGTGGGATGCAGTAGGCCATGTAACAAGTTGATATCAACGCGTTATACTCTTTGTGCCATTAGAGTGTGCGCGTTGATAGTTGCAGAAAAAGAAAGGCATGGGTACCGTGCATCCTTCTATGACTTTTACCAGGAATATCATTTTCCAAAACCAAACACAGAAAATCGGTCTCCAGACCAGTGATGATAAACCGGACAGTAAAAAAGTCAATGCAAAAAGCCGTTTTATACCTTCTAAACACTTTCTTTCTATCAGTTCTCATCGTGTTTAATTGCTGAACGTGTTTAGAATTTTGATGGATATAGAGTTTAGCCACTGGATATTGATGTTTAGAAATTGGACATCAAATTTTTCGCATTTCAACATGTTCAAAAATATTGCTAAACACAGTTTTGAGAGTGCGATTTATCGCAACAAGTTGAACCACGTAGGTTGTGCCTGTTCATCGATGCAATAATAACACTGCCTTCTGCCAATCATGGACCGAAGGCATTTGGTCGAGTGTGTATTAAGGCCATGGGGGCTCTTCAGTCACTTCAGGCTTGATGGGGCCATTCTGAACTGAAGTGATCGGCCCTTGAGCTGTGTAAAGCTTTCCCGCACATTGTGCTGCCACCCCCCACCCTGCGGTGAGCGGGCCGTGGGGACGCCGCGTACGTGCGACGTGACGGGGACGGAAACCCGCGTATTCGCGGTGGCGAGTTATGCTCAAATCTTGACCCCTCGAATCCGTGACTATGGATACTTGCTGATAAGGCCTAATTGTTTCTTTGATCCTTTTGAGACAAAGCGTTGTCTTGTCAACACCTGCTTATCCCATTATCCCTCATTATTACCAAGCATTCTTATGAATATAGCCAAAGTCTACAGAGTATCATCCTTGCTTTGTGTCCGATACAATATTGAAATGCTAATTGCTCCATTACTTTTAAAGAAGGTCCATCTTGACAGAATTTATCAATGGTGATTTGATATCTTAGTGAGATGTTTTACTTTTTTTGGCTTTTATACTGACGGCCAGCCGTGGTTTTACCAACCCTAATAAGCAAAATTACGACTGTGACTTAAAAAGTGTAGGTAGACTATAGATCACTGACCACAAATATGCTGGTTTCATTCAAAAGAGAAATATACCTTTCAATCTGATTCCATTAACTCTGAAGACGAACCCCTTTGTAAAAGGCACACAACAAAACGTACGTGAGTGACTTTTATTGGACCTCTGTTTTAAAGAACAAGTCATGCGGAGAGATTCAAATTGAGGACATTGTTTATATTTTGGGGTAAAGCAATTAAGCCAATTGTTTTCTTGTATCGACGGATGGTTGGTCTCTTCACTGAATTCAGCTCTCATTCAGATACAACACAGTGATTTATGCTCGTGTTCAGAAACATAATGGAAATCAACCAGATTAAACCCTCGCCCGCCATTGTTTATTCTGTAAATATTAACCAATAAATTCACTCCGGTGCACAGACGGCAGACGCTGACGGCATTTTGGTCAGGTTCCTTGAAGTCATGTGCGAAATATTGATGTGATTAAGCCCTCATGCCGCTCAAACCAGCCTTTAACTCACTTCAATGGCCGTGAGCAAATATATAATAATTATTCACACGCGATTGCTTCGGGACTGCGTCACTGGTGCCCGTCAATTTTAAGCACTGTGTGGGGTTAACACGGGTCGTTTCCTCGCCCTAGACTCTGTCCTACATCGTTGAAAGCATTTGAACTGAGAGCAGGACTAACTCGGGGCTTTCCACGGCTCAAAATGAAAATAGGTTTGGAGGGTAATTCCAAATGCCGCCAGCATGCAGCGGCCGAGGCGGATATTGTCCTGATTATAATTGGCGTGGTGCAGTGGTGCGGCGCGGGTAAAACGTGTAATTTGCCAGCGATTCACGCTGAGCCGTTTCGGCCCCTAGACAAGAGCCCCCGACAGGTCCAACGATTTAGCCAGTCATTAAGGAATCGCCGTGTAATAGCAATAACGTTATGCCCTGAGTGTTGGCGGGCCAAAAACGTGTGATTATTTAAGCGATTCTTCCTATTTACTGCTATCATCTGGGTAATCTTGAAAGCAAAACAATTGCTGGTTGCTCTGAAATTTTAATCAAGGCATCTGGAATTCATGAGAAACATTGGGTTCTTAAAAACGCCTGCAAGCTACAAAAATTCGACTGATCAGGCCCTTGTATTTGTGAAAATACGAATTAGTCGAGAGGAACACGTACTGCTCGTCGCCAATGTATTCACAACCCTCAGGCGAATAGTGGTGAGTCTGAGTGAAGTTAACATGCCACATGGCCGTGGGATCCATTCCGTCCTCTGTTATTGTCGTCTGGTTCCTAGAGGTTCGAGGCACACACTTATATACACACTGGCTTTGATAGACCGACGCCATTGCATCCATTACATGAAAGGAACCGCACACGGCCCGACAGAAGCATGCTCGGGTAATTATTACTGTTTCAGCGGACGTTTCGGGGGAAAATCTGCCCGATAACAATTAAGCTGGGCAGTACGCTGATTGCCATCTCAAACAACGACGTGTTGCAAGTGCTCAGCATGCAGAGTAATTGGAGCTAATTGGCAGCTATGACGTCAGATAGACTGCATTGCGACATGCGTTCTATGCTTCATTCTTTTACTGCTGGTTACAGTCGGAAATGTTTTAACTTACTCAATAATCTTCCAAATTCTTACCTTTTAATTTTTTTTCTTATTTTTCCCCACTTACGTGTGCTCTATACAGCATGGTTTCAAAGACGTAAATGGAATGATGGATGACGAGCAGCATCTACACAGCGCCACCAAGAGGGATGTAAGCGACAGGCAACGCGAGATAGACCTAGCAGCCCAGCAGCCGTTCTACCCATACGGTAGGAGAACGGACGTGCCAGGCCGGCCAACTGGCTTCATTTTTGGCAAGAGAGGGCAGTATTTCATCCCCTACCAGTACCAGAAGCGAGAACTGGCTGAGGTCAACCCGTACAGCGTGTCTAAGCGAGATGAAGAGCTGACCGGTCTGGAGGAAGAGCTAGATGCCAGCAAGCGCTCCAGTGGACCGTACATGAGCGGTCTTCACTCGCTGACCTTCGGCAAGCGGGACGCGTGGGGCCCAGAGAAAAGACGCGACCCGTTCTCGTCCTACGCCTTCGGCAAACGGGCCTTCGGCAGCAGCTTGACGTTTGGGAAGCGTGGATACGGCATGTCGTCCTTTGACTTTGGAAAACGGGCGGGACTTGACAGCAGTTTTACCTTCGGCAAGAGGGCTATCCCAGATGTTGACAGATACGACGAGGACGCCCTGGTTCAGGACGACAAGCGTGCTTTCGGTAGCAGTTTGACCTTCGGAAAGCGCAACGGCTTGTCGAGCTTCACTTTCGGCAAGCGAGCGGGTGAACGATAGAACGTTGAGGTCGTCCTATCGCATGCCCAGCACTTGTAAAGATAGCTATTATTCATATTATTTCAACTAAAGTTTAACTGGCGACTGGCTTATGTTTTTATGGACCATTGTACTGGTCATACAGATTGTAGCCTTGAAATAGAAAAGCCCTGTTATTACAAAAGATAGGAAGGGTAAGGCAAACCTTGTTTGTAAATAAAGAGGAAATAGTTACAACCGAATCAAAATTGACAAAAGAGATTGAAAGCAAAGCGTCGTTTAATTAAAACTTCTTCTGTTTTACGAAATTTTTAAAGAAAAAAATAAGATCTTCTGGCTTTAGGGTCAGAAAGCCAGCCAAGGATTGGATTGCATTCCTTTGAATAAATTCTACAGTACTGTAATTATACGTAAACTTTACATAAATGATATCATCAGCTAAATGCGATAAAGCAATCAAATGTACAAATATAGATTAACTTTGTCATTCACAATGCTATCTTTTTTTTTCAAAATGAGTTGCGAAGCTTTAGTTTAAATACAACCGCATGCTTACTGGTCAGTTTGGAATTATTACAATAACTACAGTACTGTTCGTTAAGAGAACATAATCATGATAGACAACTGGCATTAATACTAAACTATTTTGAAACTAAATTTTGAATAAACATTTCCTGCCTAATGTTCATTTTAAATTTTATCACTTTATTGGCAAAGACCACTTTGGAGTCCATATAGAGTATTAATCAATGAAATTCTCAAGAAATTTTCCTTCCTCCCAAGATTTATATATAAATTCAAAAATAGGAACTGCTTGACAGAAGCTTCTGCTAACTATTAAAATTATTTGACGTCTAAGTAAAAAGAAAGACGCGTCTGGTAGCATTTTATTGATTTGTACATTTTGTCTCATACTTTAATTTTTCTTTCGAGATCTTGCATTCTGATTTAATATAGTTTGGATATTGTGCTCGATATCCCATCCTACATGATAAAGACAACGCCTGTACGATTTGGATTGGCTGAGCTGACTGGCTGTTGAAGCCACTTTCTTCAGATACGCACTAGCTGTTGCTGGGCAGACGGCATCACAAAATTTGGATGCTGCAAAATATTCAACTCGTTAAAAATCTAATGCTTGTATCTGTGTCTTTCTCTTTCCCTTTGCTTCCATTTCTGCTGCTGCTGCAAACGCGTATTCTCTCAATTAAAATAAAGTTAAATACCTGTTACTCGACTTATGATACCGGGATACCCGGAACTCTTACCACAGGTGGTGTGAATCCTCTGAACAGGCATCGACCAACGTTAACGACACACCAGCACATGATGGTGACAATGACGACAGTGATTGCAATAACATCCAGCAGGTAGTACTGAACGAACGATAGTTGCATAGCGCGCGGCTTGAGGTGATCTGTACCGTGTCGCACAGCATACTCCACCCAGTACGCCACCTCTTCCAGCGCTGTCATCGGTGTGACACGGTCCCTTGCAATCGCAGAGTAACGTTGCACGGCCTCTTTGTACCTGTAACATGGTGAAGGTGAAAGCAAACTTCTAAATAAATTATAAATCGGTGCAGGTGGGAGACAAATATATTTGCAGACAAAAACCGCAAATAAATTAGCACAAGGCCACGACGATATCAACTCTGTTCTGCCTTTTGTTTGCTGACTGGAAAATACAGAGAAAAAAACAAGATTACTGTTGTTATATTATTAATGTTATTTCACCGATATTAGAAAATTGTGTATTTGTTTCTGTGTCAGAGCTGCAAGACGCGGAAATAAGAGCCCTAACATGGAAATACCTCAGAAATTATTTCAGCAATTTTTTCTTGACTCACGTTTCGTTATAAATGATTTCCACAGTGGCGTCGTAGATGGACCGTTCTGTCAGTTGATGGATGTCAAGAAGCACTGACATTCCTTTAGCGCCAAGACGTATGAAGTTGTCCTTCTGATCTCCAAAGACTGGGATTCCCACCATTGGCACAGCGTGATATATGCACTGGTGAATACTGTTCAGACCGCCGTGGGAAATAAAAGCTCTTGTCTTCGGATGACCTGATTAGAAGCAGTAGCGAAATTGGGTCGAATTACTCTATGGCAACTTCTTTTATTAAAAAAAGCCAATGTTAAGATAGTAACAGAATAACAGATAGTCACTCAAGAAATGATAAGAAAATTCCACATTTTCCAATTACAATAGCAATATTTAACCAGCAAAAGATTGATAGTTTACTACTCTCGATGGAATTATGCGTTTGCTTTCCTCGAGTGAAAAGTTATGTTACTTTAAACACCCCACCCTGATCTTCATAATATTGTGAGACTCACCAAGCAGATCATTTTGTGGTAGCCACTTGACAACCTTGGTGTTGTTGCCTAGAGTCTTGGGCAGTTTTCCACTGTAACTCCAGGCCACCTTCTGGGAGAGCAGCGCTAGACTTGAGGCGATGCTCTCAGCTTGTTGGTCCGTCAGTTCATCGCTTATCAGAGTACCCAATGCCATAATGACAATACCATGTTCACCGGCGCCATCAACAAACGACTGCCACTCCTTAAAAAAACAAAACAAAAACAATCAAACAACAAACAAATAAACAAACAAACAAACAAACAAACAAACAAACCAAACAACAAAAAAAAGAAAAACCCACCGATTTTAAAATGAAATATATTGACCTCAATAAGGGTTACTCCGAAACCGACAAGGGTAAGATTATCTCCCTTGCTTCAACTTTACAAACAGACTGGCATATTGTAAATGAAACGTTGAATATCTAGTTGACCTCATAGAAATTAAGTTGGCACACGTTTTGGTTTCGTCATCTTATTAAGTTTAATTTCGACCACACCCTTGTAACTAACAACAACATAGCATAGTTAGCAAGCCCTGCTCGACAGTTTGAAAATCTACATTCCGGAATCAATAAACCTGACCTGGTTCAAAGGCTTGGCCGAACCGGCTAGAAATCCACCTACAAATTTGACCTGTGGATTGAGCGGGCGCGGGAAATCCACTACGAAATCTGAATTAAAGATCCATAGTTTAGCCTCTGTCAGAAGCTGGAAGAAGTTAGCGTCCGGTCGGATGTTTCGCTTTTGCAGAAGCTTGTCGTATGGCGTTAACACGTATTTATCATAAGAGTAACTCATGACCCAATAAAGAAGGTAGTTTTTCAGGCGTTCCCGGATGGTCATGGTATCGGACACTGCACTGAATCGTTCCGGGACGTAAGCTGGATGGCTCGGTGTGTAGGCGGGGCGGTCGTGCTGCGAGGGTGCGATGGGCGTTAGGCCGATATGAATATACGGAACTTGCAGCACTTGACTCAAAATCACGTAGAACTGTGCGGTATAATCGCCAACGATCATGTCAAAGCCAGCTGCCTTCAGACCCCGCATGAGTTCTTCAATTCCCAGAATATCATCGGTGCCTACACTCGTCGCAGTGAAGAGGTCAACTTTCCTGCCACCGAGTCGCTCTTGTATCTCGCGATCCTCGGCCTCCAGGCGATACTGTTTGGCGGTGTTGGCGCTGCTGTCTCGTAACTGTTTGGAGACGTAACGCCGCACGTAAGTCTCTGATTCGGTATAAGAAAGAGCAGTCTTGTAAAAGGCCACTTTCATCTGCTCTGGTAACGCAAGGGTAGCGGCGTGACGATCATACAACTCTTCATCTATAAGAAACCAAACATCATTTCCCCTCGCTGACAAGGTCCTTGCGATCTCAGCGGATGAAAACAGGTGGCTGCATGTAACGCTTGGAGCAGTGACTAAAATCTTACTTCTAAAATCTCGCTCAGAAGATAACCCATCAGCGATCATAGTCACAGCAAGAAGCCAACAAACTGGCTTTAGATACGCCATTCTGTCCATTCTTGACTCACTGATGTGATTGAGATAATGTGTAAGTCGATAGCCTGTAGTGACAAAACGCAAACTTGGACCCGAGTACACTGTGTAGTAGGCCTACACGCAGATTTAAATGCTCGTTTAATGGCTACTGGCACTCAAAAGCATAAAGAGCAGTTTTGTCTGAAAAAAAAATAACAAACAGAACACTGACATTCGTACGCCCCTACCAGCAAAAAGAGGGCCATTAAATCTCAGAAAAGAAAGGAAACCACGCGGTAATGCACCGGCACGAAACACTTTCTACAGGCACTACGCTAAGGGTCTATCGCTTACTAAAGTGTGGAAACTTAGTGGTATACCAGTCGAATCTTATGCAGTTTGTTACACTTCACATGTCATGAGGTCGAATCATACTGATCCCGTTACGACTGCGCAGATCGTGCCCCTGTACCAATACCAGGATTCAAACAGACAGAAACAAATTTAATGTGTGCTTTGCCGGCCTTCAACAAGGTTTAAGACCGGCCAAGCGCACATGACGTTTGGGAAGCGTGGATAAGGCCTCTCGTCCTTTAACTTTGGAAAACGGGCGGGACTTGACAGCAGTTTCACCTTCGGCAAGAGGGCTATCCCAGATGTTGACAGATACGACGAGGACGCCCTGGTTCAGGACGACAAGCGTGCTTTCGGTAGCAGTTTGACCTTCGGAAAGCGCAACGGCTTGTCGAGCTTCACTTTCGGCAAGCGAGCGGGTGAACGATAGAACGTTGAGGTCGTCCTATCGCATGCCCAGCACTTGTAAAGATAGCTATTATTCATATTATTTCAACTTAAGGTTAACTGACGACTGGCTGATGTTTTTATGGACCATTGTACTGGTCATACAGATTGTAGCTTGAAATAGAATAGCCCTGTTATTACAAAAGATAGGAAAGGTAAGGCAAACTTGTTTGTAAATAAAGAGGAAATAGTTACAACCGAATCAAAATTGACAAAAGAGATTGAAAGCAAAGCGCCGTTGAATTAAAACTTCTTCTGTTTTATGAAATTTTTTAGAAAAAAATAAGATCTTCTAAGCATTTTTGTTTGTTCTGGCTTTAGGATACCGGGATACCCGGAACTCTTACCACAGGTGGTGTGAATCCTCTGAACAGGCATCGACCAACGTTAACGACACACCAGCACATGATGGTGACAATGACGACAGTGATTGCAATAACATCCAGCAGGTAGTACTGAACGAACGATAGTTGCATAGCGCGCGGCTTGAGGTGATCTGTACCGTGTCGCACAGCATACTCCACCCAGTACGCCACCTCTTCCAGCGCTGTCATCGGTGTGACACGGTCCCTTGCAATCGCAGAGTAACGTTGCACGGCCTCTTTGTATCTGTAACATGGTGAAGGTGAAAGCAAACTTCTAAATAAATTATAAATCGGTGCAGGTGGGAGACAAATATATTTGCAGACAAAAACCGCAAATTAGCACAAGGCCTACACGCAGATTTTAAATGCTCGTTTAATGGCTACTGGCACTCGAAAGCGTAAGGAGCAGTTTTGTCTGAAAAAAATAACAAACAGAACACTGACACTCGTACGCCCCTACCAGCAAAGACAGGGACAGTAAATCACAGAAAAGAAAGGAAACCACGCGGTAATGCACCGGCACGAAACGCTTTCTACAGACACTACGCTAAGGGTCTATCGCTTACTAAAGTGTGGAAACATGAATTTAGTGGTATACCAGTCGAATCTTATGCAGTTTGTTACACTTCACATGTCATGAGGTCGAATCATACTGATCCCGTTACGACTGCGCAGATCGTGCCCCTGTACCAATACCAGGACTCAAACAGACAGAATTAAATTTAATGTCTGCTTTGCTGGCCTTCAACAAGGTTTAAGACCGGCCAAGCACATATTTATTTCCGTTCGTTAATACATTTTTTTTAGTTAGTGAGTCAAAAGAAGTCAATATATGATAGATTTCCAACGAGTTTGTTCTGGGTATTTACTGGCATTTTCCCGAACACCCTTGTTCATTTTATGGTATATTTGTTGGGCATGTTATCCAGAAGACTCTCCATATATATGGACTTGGCGCGCGCGTGGTGCATTCTACGTGCCACGTCGCAGGCAGACTCTTGATCAATAGGGATGGGCCGTTTTCCAATACTCAACTTCGGCTCCGTCTCAGGCTTCAACTGTTTTTTTTTTACTAGCTGACTTTGAAGCGGTAAGCACAGTAATCAGTCTAATAGTGCCACAAAACATCAAATAAGATGCAAGAAAGCCAAAAATTACAGTAATTCAATGTAATTTAAACGCTTCAGGCCCACAATCGGGGATTACTTTTTGGGAACGAAGCCTGAAACGGAGACGAAGTTGAGTATTGGAAAACGGCCCGGATTAATCCGCCTCATATCCGGGTGCCATAGCGTTTTTTTTAGGAAGCCGGCATTATCAGGTCTCGGCGGGTATTATTAAAATGTTAATACAAGGTTTGCGTGTTGTTAACTGTGAATAAACGATGAAAGTGACCAGGGCACAACCCAAAAGTAAATACATTTTCACAGATTGATTCATTTCAAGGTTAGAATGAAGGGTAGAATGCCGTAAGCATACGAGGATTTGCGGGCATGTTGCGTAATACTAAGCTAACGCGTAACCAACGCTAAAACAGCCCACGTCTTATTACTCTGAGAGACAATTGTAGCCGGTATCAGGCATGAACCGTCCTCTCCGATTAACAGTTAAAAATATTCATTATGGGGGGCTTTAGGGCTACAGGTTATCTTCTTCTAAGCTTGATGATATGCCAACATAAACCGGTATTGGGAAGCAAGATTTTGGTCGCTGCTACCTCTGGAATGTCCAGTCACATGATTTCTGCGTTGGAGATTGCTAAGACTTTGTCCGCACGAGGAAATAGAGTCTGGGTCATTATCGAAGAGGAGACCTACAACACATACGTGCATGGCCGTATAGAAATCCCCGATCAGATTAGAATCGTCTTCTTTAAGCTTATGTCTGTGTCCCACAAGGACGGAGACATTTACCTTCGGCGATACATTTTTAAGCAGTTACGGGACAGCCAGGCCAACTCGGCCCTGCAGTATCGTACTGAAGCCGAGGATCGCGAGATAGAAAAGCGCCTCGGTGGCAAAAAGGGTGACGTCTTCAAAGCGTCGAGTTTCGTCATCGACGACATGCTTGGAAACAAGGAAGTTATCGAGAATCTAAAGACAGTAGGATTTGACATGATAATCGGTGATGTGGTGTCTTTGTACCATGTATTTCTCAGCCAAGTTCTCAAGGTGCCGTGCATTCAATTTGGCTTGACATCTATGGTACCATCGCAGCATGACCGCTTTGCTTTCAACCCAAGTTATTCAGCCTACATGCCTGAACGTCTGAGCTCGCTCACCGATGTCATGACTTTCCGAGAACGCACAACAAACACCCTCTTATACTTGGTCACGGGATACTTCTATTATCATTACATGCTGACACCAATGGACGCTGTTTTGCGCAAGCGCAACATCAGACCAGATGCCAACTTTGGCCAGCTCCTCTCCGAAGTGGCCATGTGGATTTTCAACTCCGATTTTGTGTTTGACTTCCCCCGACCCTTGAGTCCACACGTCAAGTTCGTCGGCGGTGTCCTTACGGGTCCTTCAAAATCACTTGATGAGGTAACTCGCTTCATGATAAGATTTTTCAGTATAGATTTGTCAGTATGTTACTATAGTTGGAGAATTTCATGACAAGGCTCTGGTGGAGAGTACTTTTCATTAAGTTCACTCTCTTTCTTGGCATTGTAGACACGCCAGTCTGTCAATTCCAAACTCCCTGACGTGACTGAGATTACTAGTGCGTAAGTTGATTACCTTTGGTGACAAATTCATATCGTTGACTGAGAGTACTCTGTAAAAAGAACAGGTGCTTAAATGCAACTTAAATGTATACCAGCACTCCAAAGCATAAAGAGCACTTTATTTTCTGAAAACATACCGTTCACATTCATTTTTTCCCTCCAACCCCAGTACCAGTAGAATCAAAGGGGGCCATTCAACAGAACAGCAAAAGAGAAGGAAGGCAGGCTCTACCCCCCCCCCACGAGCCGCTTTCTACAGGAACTATGCGATGTACATAATAAAACAATAAGGTTTCCTCGCCCAATCCTATTTAGAAAGCATGAGTTGGGTGCTATACCCGTCAAATCTTATGCAGTTTGTTATCCTTTAAGTGACGTGAAGGCGAATCAATAAAGCAAGCACAAGAAAATCTAACAGCGAAGGTACAGATTGAAATGTTTCGAAGGATATCGAGAAAAGGAATCCCCAAAAGGGGATCCTTTCCTACCTCGTCCCAATTAAGGGATTACTCTATTTTCACTTCTTTCCATCAGTACCCCTGGCGGAGTTGCGGTGCATTAAATTTGTCGTCCCACGGTACCCTTAACTTTGAAGACCTTTAATATTTATAAACAAACGTCCAAGAGCCTAAAAATTCAGTGTACAAAACCGCAACTGTATTTGCTGATCTTCACACAAGAACCAAGCATGTTGAGTAAGCGTTGCCATAGTTACAGGGAAGTTTATAATTTCATGTCGGTGGTCCTTTTTACACCATAGGTAGGGGAAAACGGACCACCCGTGTGGGGTAAAAAGGACCCTTGTGCCGTTTTTCCCCATTATAAAACGTGTGCTTTCTCGTATGCCATGTATACATGTAGTGCAGTTCAAAGCAATAACACATAGTGCAAGAGTAAGATAGGTGAGAACTTAATATTTTTAAAGAGCAGTTGGCTTGGGCAAGATCCAGTTCACAATTTTTAAAGAGTAGCTGGCATAGGCTCGATCCACTATTTCTAGACAACAGTAGGCATAACGTAAGGCATGCAATTTAATATTTCACAAACGTCGTAGGCCTACTCCCTGAAGATCAGTCTTTAACGAAAGGGGTCTGGTCATTTCTTTATTGAAATATTTTCAGATTTGATCAGATAATTTATCTTATTTTACTTGAATATGTATTTATGCACTTNCCACTGACCGCTCGCTCTCAACCATTTGGGTCAAATGGAGCAAGGTCCGTTTTGTTCCGCTATGATAGGGTGCGTTTTACCCCAAAGGTCAATAAATGCAATGAAAATGTTGGACTTAACAAAGCGCGTGACTCCGAGTCAAACCTGTTCCTCTGTATTTTCACACAGATAATTGGTCGTAAATGATAAGTACAATACATGCAAAATATCTTCCCTTGCCATTTTACAAACAGACTATGTGACCGTACCATAGACCACAGTGGTAAAACAAAATTCAAATTGCAGACGCACAAAAGTTACGGCGCTGGAAACTTCGAACAATGGCGGCTTAGACATCATCTATTCGTTCTAAACCACAGTGTACAATCAACATTTTTGGATCCCGTTAACAGTGCTTTGAACTTGTCCTGTCTCTATGTACCAGGATTTCCAAACTAAAATAAACGATGAAAGTCGCCAAGTTCCGATTGGATACAACCCAAAAGTCAAGAAAAGGTTAACTAAATATTGAAATCCCATGAGTACTGATTATTTACAGGTATAGTGTACTAAGTAAACACGAAACCTATATAATAGAACAAACCACATTTGTGGAATGAAGGGAGAGATATCACTTCAGTAGAGACAGGAATACCAGGCGAAAAGTGTGCTTCTGTACAACAGTTGAAGTAATTCATTATGGTTGTGTTTCGGGCCGTAGGTTTCCTTGTTTTAAGCATGATAATATTCCAACATAAACCGGTGTTGGGAAGCAAGATTTTGGTCGCTGCTACCACTGGAATGTCCAGTCACATGATTTCTGCGTTGGAGATTGCTAAGACTTTGTACGCACGAGGAAATAGAGTCTGGCTCATTATCGAAGAGGAGACCTACAACACATACGTGCATGGCCGTATACAAATCCCCGATCAGATTAGAATCGTCTTCTTTAAGCTCATGTCTGTGTCCCACAAGGACGGAGACGTTTACCTTCGGCGATACATTTTTAAGCAATTACGGGACAGCCAGGCCAACTCGGCCCTGCAGTATCGTACTGAAGCCGAGGATCGCGAGATAGAAAAGCGCCTCGGTGGCAAAAAGGTTGACGTCTTCAAAGCATCGAGTTTTATTTCTGACGACATGCTTGGAAACAAAGAAGTTATCGAGAATCTAAAGACAGTAGGATTTGACATGATAATCGGTGATATGGTGTCTTTATACCATGTAATTCTCAGCCAAGTTCTCAAGGTGCCGTGCATTCAATTTGGCTTGACCT